CCTGACGCCGAGGGAGGCCCGGAAGGAAAGAACTAGAAACCGGGCCTTCTCGGCGGTGGCTCCTCGCCTTTGGAATAACCTACCTCTGGAGGTTCGCGCTGCACCCTCACTGGGTACTTTTAAGAACCAACTAAAAACATGGATGTATAGGCAGGCCTTCCCTTCCAGTTAGTTCCTGTCCTCTTTTCTTTTTTTCCTATTTATTTGATTTATTTTGTATTTTTTCCATCTTGCAGAATCATTTAATTAATTAATTTGTTATAAATTTTTCTTAAACTTGTTATGCTTTATGTTGTAAGCCGCCTAGAGTGGTCGAAATGACTAGATAGGCGGGGTATAAATACAATCAATCAATCAATCAATCAATCAATAAATAAATAAATAAAAACCCATCAATACTTTGAGAGAAATATAATAAGAATTTTTTTGTTAAAAGTCTGGGAAAAAATTAAATGTAAAATATACGTGAAAATGCCTAGATGGATCTCATTGATGGAAGAATTCACTCATCCAAACTTATAAAATTTTGAGAAAATGACGACATACAGCATAATGAGCTCTTAAACGAGGAAGGCCTATTAAAGACAAAAAATCAACTAGAGAGCCAAGGACTGATTTTTTCATGGTGGCCCCAATTGCAACTACAATCAATCTATAATCAGGACAAAAACACACGAGGATTTTATAGAGAGTATACAACACTTGATATTACTTACTATAGAAAAACAACAAATTCAAAAAGTACAGTGGTGCCCTGCTAGATGCTTACCATGGTAAACGACAAAATCGCCTGACGATGACTTTTTTGCGATTGCTACTGTGATCGCAAAACGATGGTTCCTATGGGGGAAATCTACTTTATGTTGATTAGGTCCCTGCTTCGTGAATTGTTTGTTTGTTAAATGATGATTTTTCTGGCTCCGCAAAATGGCTTCCCTCTCTTCACAAAATGGCTGTTTCCCGGACAGAAGCTTTAGAAGACAGCGATTTTAAACAGCTAATCGGAGGTTCTCTATGGGCAATCTTCGTTGGACAATGAGATATTTGCCCACTGGAACACATTAACCGATTTTCAATGCATTCCAAAGTTTTTTTTTCTGTATGATGACGATTTTGCTTAACAGCGATTTTAACGGAACGGATTATCGTCGTCATGCGGGGCACCACTGTATATAAATTTTTATTGCAATGGGACACTAAAGATGAAGAGGTTAAGGGGACAATGTTAAAATGGTCAAAAGATTTTGGATATACCCGTAGTATAGAGCTTGAAAAATGGCAACAAATGTGGACTAAAAAGATAACATTAGCAACTTCCTATAAGGAAAATCTATACAAAATGTTTTATAGATGGCATCTCCCTCCATCCAGACTTGCAAAAATCTCTGCCAACATTTCGAATAAATGTTGGAAATGTAAAAACCAGGAACCTATTACCCCACATGGTGGACATGTGATATTGCAAGGAAATATTGGATTAAAATTCATACATGGATTAAGCAAATGACTAAACAACAAATACAATTTAAACCAGAAATCCTCTTATTGGGATTAATACCAAATAATATCAATAAGCAAAGCTATTATATAATATCACATGTTCTGACAGCAGCTAGATTAGCATGGGCACAGGTATGGAAAGAGGGAAATCCGCCAAAAGATGAATTGATTATCAAAAAAAATTAGAATGTGCAGAAATGGACAGACTAACAAAGAGACTAAAAGGGCAAGAAAAATCAATTTATTATGAAAGCTGGAACCTATTCTATGAATGGTGGAAAACAAAAGCTTGTAACAAACAGAAAGTAAATGAGTAAAATGAATAATATGGAGAAGATCTTTGGCTTTACAGTATGTATTGTACAGTGGCCCCTTGACTTACAGACGGCTTGACTTACAGAATTTTTGAGTTACAGACTTCTCTGGCCGCAAAATTTAGGTTTGACTTGCAGACTGAGATTTGACTTACAGACCACACACACACACACAAAAACCAAAATGGAACAAAAACAGCCTGTTACGGGATTAAACGGTTTTCAATGCACTGTAGGGCAATGGAGACTTGATTTACAGACTTTTTGACTTGAGAACCGCCTTCCAATACGGATTAAGTTCTCAAGTCAAGACCCCACTGTATATGTGTGTGTGTATATGTATAAAATGTTGTTTTTATATATTTTTAAGTTTTATGTTGGGAAAATAAAATATTTTTAAAAAATAAACAAAAACTATAACTATTATTAATGACAATATTTTTCTAATACGTATGGGACTATAGCACTATAAAGATAGAAATGGTCCAGCACTTAGTCTCATTGCCTTAAGCTCTTATCCAATAAATTACTTCTTTTTAAAATCAATGGCATTAAACTGTTTATTGAAACATGACAATAGATTCAGCTGGACAAATTCATCCTGTCACAATTTAAAGTGCACTACATTAACCTAGAGCTTCTTGTCAGTCCACAGAAGGAGCCAAGATTGTGAAAGCAGCCATGTGTGATGGAGACTATCCCAGATCAACTTTTGTTTGCTTACTGATGTCTAAAAATATGCACTAATACAGGAGATGTTTAGTGAGTCAACTCCTCTGTAAGTTCCATTGATTCAAACAGACTTACTCTAGTTATGACTTATATACTAAAGTAAGTCACAACTAAAGTAGGCCCATTTGAATCAATGGAACAGAGAAGTTGACCCATCACATCCCCATTGATTCAACGGGTCTACTCTAGCACAAATTACTATGCCAAGCAACAAGATTTTGGTCAATATTTTGTGTGAAGAAGTTATTCCATCATGTTTCATTTTTTTTAACTCGAAAAAAATTAGATGTGTGGGGTACAATTAACTAGCAGTACAATCTTGGCAGAGGTGGAGTGCCTCTGTATCTTTTTATTTATTTATAATATTTATATGCTGACTTTCTTCCCAAAAAGACCCAAAGTGAGATTTGGACTGGGAGCTGTTTGTAGACCAGGGAAGGGGAAGCATATCCCCAGACACTGTCGGAGGGGCTGCCTTCTTGCCTAGTTGTGAGTTACTTTGGCATACTGTATATGGTTTTGACACATGCAATGCTGTTTTATGCAATTGTTCCCTACTGCTGTATCATTTACATGCCTTCATCTTTCTGATCAGTAGAATATGTTTTTTAAAACCTGATTGTGCAGATTTGTAAATATCTTCCTGAATTTTAAAAAAGATACTAACGTAACTATGCAACAAAAATGTGTTTGGGCACTCTATCTGATCAGTAAAAACTGAGCATACTCTGGAGCACACAGCTCCCACCTATGACCTCTTGGATAGATAACACTGTACTGCACACGCACAAGTAACACCCTACTGGGTACAATGTAAGTTACCTCAATTTACAGCACAACGAGTGTTAAAAAAGCTCCAGTTTGGAAGCACCCTGAGTCATCAACTGCCAAGGAGCAGAAAAAGATGCAGGTAAACACAATGGCTGCTTCAATGGGTTGGCATCTTTACTATTGGCTAGCCACTGAGTTGGTTTATGATTCCTTGTGCCCTCTCTCTTTGCAAAATACATGAAGGGGGTCAGTGAATTTCACATTTAATAATATGTAGTGGGAAATACAAAGATGCATTTACTACCCTACCCCCTTGCAGAACTGCATACAGTAGCCATGTCCCCTGCTGTGCTTGTGTTAAGATAGCATGTGAAGGAGCTCTGTGCCCAATATACGTAGGCCTGTAGACCTAGTACATGTAAGAAGTCCCTTTGGCCAAATCAGTTTCTTCTTGTGTTGATGAATTTCACATATCACAACCGTTATGTCTGTAGAGGTTTTTGTTAGCTGAACATGCAGATAGCATAGGAGCACGTGTGGCATGGCCAATGTATATGCTCACAGCAGGGAAATAGTGAGCTTGTGAGCTGCTTCTACATGTGCATATAAAATACGTCACTTGGATCCTTGGTACAATATACAGTAATTTGTAGATTATAAGAGAAGTGCTGTAAACATCTTCATGGGTCTCTAGTATGTGTTCTCCAGATGTTTTGGATTACAGGTCCCATAATCCCTGACAATAAACCATGATTTCGTAGACTTTCTCTAAACTAGAGAAGTGGTCCCCAACTAGCTCTACTCCAGAATTTCTGGGATAACATCTGAGGACTTAGGGTTGGGAACCACTGCTCAAGAGCAGCAATGCTCAATAGAGGTTATATGGCCTCCTAGGGGGCCCTAGCCCATTTGGAGGGGGGCACAGACTGGAAACATTACTTCATACACCCTTTTAAAAGTTTTTTATGCCATTCAGACAATCCTGATTCAGCCTATATTTCTTTCATATTGTTTTTATGGTCATGGCCATGAATTTTAATAATAAAACTAAAATAGTTTTGCTGGATTTAATTAAGTGACAATAAAAGAAACAAATTAACTATCTTCTGTTCAGTTCCAAAACTCAACTATTACACATGTGCTGAAGAACAAGCTGCCACACATGGTCATGTGTTCAATCCCTGATAAAAATCTGAATCCATCCTCCAGCAATAAGCACACATTGCACCAGGGGAAAAACCCATTCTTGCAGCACCCTTTTATTTTATCCACTGTGCCTAGAACAAAATATTTAAATATAAGAAAACCCAGTTCACTGATATAAGGAATGCTCCTCCAGTCATTTCAGTTAAGTTTTAGGTCCAGTAGTTGTTATTAACATATTGAAAGGGCTGGACTATGGCTGGGAAGAACCAGGTTCAAATCCCCAATGACTGGCTCACTCACTATGCCTTAGCCTAAAATACATCATAGGATTTCTGTGAGGATCAAAAATGGGGAAGAGGATCATCTCTACTACTTTGGGCTCCCTGGTCAAAAAAGAAAAAAAAGGCAGAGGCCCAATAAACAGACATTTGGCATAAACAAACAATTCTAAAGCTCAGTCACGTTACTTGTTTTCGGGCTTTGCTTATACACGTAATTTGGGGGACGTGAGTATATTGCTAACGACAACCCACTTACAGTAGTTACCATCGCCAGCACCTCTCGCCCTGTCGTCGCTTCCAAAGCAGAAGCGCCGCCGGNNNNGGGGGGGGGGAGAAAGGCAACGTTGACCCCGGGGCCCTTATTGGTTAACGCTGGACAACTCCACCCTGCGCCGCATGCGCACTTCTCGCCCCTTTCTCTTCCGAGGCCCCTCCTTATCTTGCGTTTCCTTTTCCTCCTCTTCTCCCCCCTCCCGCCCTTCTCTGACTGCTCGCGAGTTGCTGTTGTTGTCAGTGCGGCTCTTGGCCAGCCGGGAGAGAGCGGGAGCGAGGCAGAGACGGGAAGCGCGAGCGCAATCCGTTGGGCGCGCGAGCTGCCGGAGCCGAAGGAGAGCGGCGCGAGCCCTAGAACGTCTGAGCCGTCAGCCGAGGGTTTTGTTAGCCGCCGCCGCCGCCGCCGCATCCCTGCCGCCGAGGAGGCCCCTCTGCGTCTCTTTTCCCGCTCCGTAGCAGGCAGAGGACGGGCGCCGAAGGGAGAAGCCGTCGCCTCTTTCCATGCGGAGAGCGGGGAGAGAAAAGCTGAGGGCCGCGGCTGCCGACACTGGGAGTAAGTTAACCGAGGGCAGGGTGAGGACTGGGGAGCGAGCCGGGGTGGCCTGCCCGCCGCGGCCGCAAAGCTTCCTCGAGGAGGCCTTGGCAGGCAGGTGCCGGCCAGGAGGGGGAAATTTTAATTTTTCACGGGTGGAGAAGGGGAAAGGCAGGGAAGCTCCCGAGGCTGTGGCCGTCATCATCCGAAGGCCGATATCCGCGGTGCTGAGAAGGAGCTGCATCAGTGCCCGGTCTCACTGTGTGATGTGTCGGTCTTCCTCTCGATCTGTCTGCCTCTCGCGTTTTCGCTCCGGCGCGCGCGCACACACATACACGCACACGCACACACACATATACGCAGCTCTCGCGTTGCCCGTGTCCGACAGATTAGGGGAAGGTAAAGGTGTGTGTGTGATGAGAATATGACAATGAATGCGGGGGGGGGGGCGCTTTGTACGTGTGAATGTGGTGTTCCTGCGGACATACTGAGGTGGAATACAATTTGTGTGTGTGTGTGACAGAAAGAGAGAAACGGTGCATGTGGGGAATGTTCCTCCCCCAAACCGTATTTATGGTGATGCATCGGAGAGAAAGGTGAAGCCGAGTTCACCTCTTGTGGTCTCCACTCCATCTCCGGCGCTCTTTCTCCTGGTCTTCTCCCCTGCCAACCCTCCTCCTAGTCCCCTGCAGTCTGAGGAAAGCAAGCAGCCCCCTTGATCTCTTTTCCATCAGTGTATTTGTCAGGCTTAGGTGGTGGCTAAGAAGTTCATAAACCTAAGCTGCAGAACTGTCTGAGGGATGACAGTGCATCTTATTTCTGTATGCTGGGTATAAAGCCAACAGGTATGGCTAGAAACAGCTTAGCTGCCCTGTGTCTTTCCTTTTGATGATTGAGAGAGTACATTATCCACAAAGACAGGAGCTTGGCATCTTTCCTTCTGTTGAAGTGTTTACATAGTGGTCCCATGCTGAAAACATGTTATTGCAGCAATGATGTATTTAGTAAACAACCATTTTTCTGTCTTGTGCTGAGTTTGCCAGGTTTTGACACTGGCATCAAACCTGTGGAACATTTTTGTTTTGTTAAAAATCCTCTCTCCACTTAGCATTAATGAAAGAAACTGGTAAAAAGACATTATATCTATATATACCTATATGCATGTTTTTTACTTCTGAAAATATTGATAGCATGCAGTGTTTTAAAAGAAAGCTGTATTCAGTAGAACTGTGTAAATGCAGTATGATTTAATTTCCTTATATTCCTTTAGCAATACATGGTCTATGAAGTATTATGAATTATATATATATAATAATTTCTTCCTTGAGTAGAACCTGTGTAAGGAAAAACTTCACATAGCTTGCATCCTGAAGCTTGGTGGTGATGGGGTACTGGAAATGCGTACAGTATTTTTTGTTTATGGCTAAGATAGTTAGAGGCTTAACGATGTCTTTGCTATGGTCTTCTAATTTGAATTTGAGTTCTTTTCAAAGGATGGGAGTGAGGATCTGTTTAAAGTCTGCCCTCTAGTGCAGCCATTCTTACTCTTTTAGGTTGTTGTTTTTATTTAGCATTGGACAGTTGATGTAAGAGAGAGAAAAGTATGAGAGAATTTAGCAGAGTGCATCTTTGACTTTCCTCCAGAGCTATAGAAAAAACTTGGGAAATATCATGGAATCTGCTGTTGGGTACTGCACTCATGAGATAATTAATCATCCAGTTTTAACAAAAGATACCATTATTTTCCAGGAGCAGTTGGTTTAAAAAGATCCATGAAATAACATGGATGGTGATGATGAGTGGTTCATCTTTCAGACTTCTCACAAAAATGTACATTTTGCCTTTTGTGGAACAGATGTATGACATAATCAACAGTTATCACATAGTGTCTACAGAGGAGAAATTTAACTACAGCAGTGAGCTCAGGGGCACTGCATACAGTATCTTTTCCTGGAGTACAGTGTATGTGTATTGAACTGGAAGAATTGGAGCAGATAATTGGGGAAGCTAAGTCAAAATGGTTGACTTGAATTAACTTGATACATAGTCATTGCCAGGAACTTTTATTGGGAAGTGCAGGAAACTGTGTGATATAGTATACTTCCTAATTAATTGACTAAAGCGTCTGTCACAGATATATTTGTAAAACTGATGAACTGTGGCTGCAGTAGTGTGCTCTTTTTGTTTGTGCAAAATGCACATATCACTTTCTGACAAGTTGCTCTGTCACCTTTTATTCTGATAATTCTGCTATCTCTTCTTTCTGAATTGTGTTAGTTAACTTATCCTATACCTCCAATCTTTTCCCTGTGCTCTGACAACATGTTCTTCATATCTTCTTATTGCATTACTGTTCTCTTCTATGCTCTTTGATGCTACCATTATGTCTTTTCTCTACTCCTTCACATAAACACAGGAGAAAAATATTATACCTTTTCATCTTCTTTGCCAAGTAAATAACAAATAATTGAAATATAAATAAGTTCCCTTCACAATATTTTTGTTTCTCATTGTATTGTCTCTATTCTGCAATGTAATCTGAAAGGAACTTCAGTTATATTATCTGCTGTGGAAGTTATTTGTCTTTTGCCTTTTCTTTGTGCCACAGTTGTGTAAAGTGTGCAAAGTAACGTGCATGATAAAAAAGACCTACAAAAGATTAAGCACTTTAACCGTAGAATTAATAACAATGTTTGCCAGATGCACATGTGATTTATTTATTTATTTATTACATTTCTATCCTTCCCATTTAGTGACAGAGCGCTACTCTGGGTGGCTAACAGCAGTAGTAACAACAACAACTCACCTACCAGACACAAACACACAGTTAAAAAACTGGCGAAAAGTATTCCTAAGACAGCCGCAGACAAAACTAAAATAAAATTGTTGTTTAGTCGTTTAATCATGTCCGACTCTTCGTGACCCCATGGACCAGAGCATGCCAGACCCTCCTGTCTTCCACTGCCTCCCACAGTTGGGTCAAATTCATGTTGGTTGCTTCGATGACACTGTCCAACCATTTCATCCTCTGTCGTCCCCTTCTCCTCTTGCCCTCACACTTTCCCAACATCAGGGACTTTTTCCAGGGAGTCTTCTCCAATGAGCTCTCAGGGTTGATTGCTTTCAAAATAGATAAGTTTGTTCTCTTTGCAGTCCAGTGGACTCTCAAGAGGCTCATCCAGCACCACCATTCAAAAGCATCAATTCTTCAGCGGTCAGCTTTCTTTATGGTCCAGCTTTTGCTTCCATACATCACTACAGGAAAAATTAAATACATGGGTCCAAAAAGAATAAAAATCCTTGTGTATTTTTAAAAAAATTAACACTAGAATTTCATACAGTGTTTGGGACAGCCATATATCTAAACATTTACCTGTAGTAGGCAAGATGTGTTTTCTCCAAATTCTGATTGCTACTGTTTGTCTTATATATATATATATATATGTATATAATGCCACAGTGCACTGCTTCCCCCCCCCCACAATAAACCTAACATTTCAGTGAGGTTGGTTTCATGTTCCTCCTCATTCATTTTCATAGTTTAGAGAGAAGATAATGCTCTTAACTCATATTTAAATACATTTATTTTCATTGTTGTAGGTATACAATGTGCACATTTCCACAAGTAGAAGTAGTTGGTAATGTAGCATTTTATAGTATGAGTAAATAAATCATTTGAAGAATTCATTCAGTGTAGAGTGTTAGATTTCAGTATAGATGAAAATGATCTGAACTTACTCTTCATGGTTAGCAACAAGGTAAGAGTGGGTGGAGGCAGTACAGTGAGTCAATAATCCTTATAGTTTTATCTGATTTGATAGCATAAGTGCATTTAGAAAATGGTACAATACAGTTTTGTTGTAATACAGTTTCTGGTTTAAAAGAGAATAGTATTGCAAAGAGCTGGAACAGGAGTTCTGTGGCTAAAGTATTCTGCCTCTAAAGAAATGAATAGTAGCAACTGTGGAGAGATGTGAGTGATGATTGTGTTGTTGAGCTAAATGTTTTAACTCTTTGTGTCTATGCCATTTTCTAAAATCTGAATTAATCCTTGTTGCTTGTGCATGGTGAAAGAACTTGAAGGTTTCTTTCAGAGGAAATAATTGTGATGTGTGTAATCCAGATTAGAAAAAAAAGAACAAAAACAAGCTAACCAATTCTACATAATCACAGAAATAATGCAGATGTTTCCCTATAGCTGCAGTTACTAATTTTTAAACTACAGAATATTCTCAGCATGGATTTCCCATATCATAACTTGTTTCACTGTGATGTATTATGGAAAGATTTTAGAAATTAAGAAACATGCAGTGTATGGTAGGGACACATTTTGCCATACATCATGAAGATGCAGATCTGTGAAGATGGTGCGTGAATAGTCTTGTTTGTTTGTAGTCTGGCAGCAAAAAGAATAATATTGTGACATTGCAAAGTGCAGTGGGAAATCTTAAGGCTGCATGCCTCCCCCTTGAAACAGTTTTGTGGTTTTCCAAAGCTCCCTCAGGGAAACGTAAGTTTTTCAGACAGGTTTTGGTTTTTAAAAAAGCATACTGTTATGCTTCAGAAGGCTTCCAGGAGCAAAAGTTTTCATATAAAACAAGTTGAGGGAACTCCCCCAACCTAAAGTGCCCAAATGCAAATCAGAAGTAGATGTCTGGGCAGTTTTGGCTTTAATTTTAAAATTTCTTTAAAAACATTTTTGGATGGTTTGGGGCCTGCTGCAGATATGTGCTGGGGTCAAAAATTTGATTCCTGTCCCCACCACAGTTCTCTGCACCTTGTCTGAAAGATTTAGTAGCTTCATTAGGCATAAACTTTTGTGGACTGCAGCCCACCTCTTCAGGGGCATCTATTAACTGAAGAAGAGAGTTGTAGTCCATGAAAAGTGTATGCAACTAAAAGTGCTACTGTCTATGGTGCTCCAAAAATCTTCCTTGGAGGATATCAATCTAGAAAATTATGTTGGGTTAATATTGGCACAAACTCCTGCATTAATCTTTTGCTGCAGCTGCTTTAGTCTTCCTGTGTTTATGGCTCACTCACATTTTTCTTCCAAGCTACAATTAAAAAAAGACATTTTAGAAATGGCAGAATTGGAACAAAATGGGATTTACCTGAAGGTACCTGGCCTTATACAAGTTGCTGTTAATGAGCCATCTGTACAGATAATCGACTTGCAGGATTTTTAAAAATATTTTTGTTTCAAAGTATGAGTATTTGATGTATCAACAGAACTAAAGAAAATAGGCTGGAGACCCCTTAAAATTCTACTGCTTTTTCTTGAGATTAATTTAAAAAATCCTACCTTTATGGCAGAAAAATCTGCAAGTCCATAGGCCAATATAGTTAACTGATTCTTCTTATGCCAATTTCTATAGCATTGCTTGGTCATTCTCTCATATTTATGGTTTTTCATAAAATACATTTGAACCAGCTTGGTAGTACTGCATTAATGCAAATCAGTAATTATATAAATACAATAATTGAAGTAATTGACACAGTGATACTAAACATGCTTACGTGGGGTGGATACCTTGCAGCCTTCTGGATATTTTGGGGACTGCAATTCCTATGAGCCATAGCCAGTGTAACTCCCGTGGGGGGGGTGGGGGAGCATCGCAAGGGTCCTGGAAGGCTCCCTCGGACCCTTGCGACGCTCCCCCCCACGGGGCCAGTGGGGGCGAAGTCACCACCTTCGCACCATAAGACGCACAGACTTTCTACCCCCCTTTTGGAGGGGAAAAAAGTGCGTCTTATGGTGCAAAAAATACGGTACATTTGAACCAGCTTGGTAGTACTGCATTAATGCAAATCAGTAATTATATAAATACAATAATTGAAGTAATTGACACAGTGATACTAAACATGCTTACGTGGGGTGGATACCTTGCAGCCTTCTGGATATTTTGGGGACTGCAATTCCTATGAGCCATAGCCAGTGTAACTAGTGATGATGGATGAATTGCAGTCCATGTTATTGGATTGCAACTCCTGTCATCCCCCGCCAGTTGTCAACATCTGGAAAGGGCCATAAATTGCCCAGGAGAATAAGTATTTGGCCGAGCAGAAGTAGTATCTGCCTCTTTTTTACACCACATTCTGTTCTGCTTCAGAGGGTCCTCTCAATTAATTGGAAATGATTTTAGTGGGTGTTACAGTAAGGAGAGGGAATTGTTAAAAATAAAACATGTAGAACAGTAAAAACCATGTAAGTCAACAAAGATTAGCCTGATATATACAGCATCAGCAATTATAAAAGTCAGTGAAAAGAGGGAATCAGCCTCATTTTTGCAAATAACAGTGACCCCAGTCTCCAAGAAAGTTTTCCCTAAAATGGCATGTCTAACAAGAACGATAAAATCCTAAAGGTGTTTCCCAGAGTAGGGCATTCAGTAACGTGGATGCCCTGCTAAAATAGCCTTGACTTCTTGTACTATAACCAAGCAAAAACATAATACGTTTTTGGCATTCTTCAGTCTATGCAAGTATGGGCTGAAGTTGGAACAAAAGATGGAAAGGAGCTTTATTTTCTTCCTAGTATATCCAGAGTTAAGTTGTTTTGTTCTGAGTCTGTATCAAAGTTATTGAAACACCTGTGTTTAAATTCTTCTCTAAAGGAAGAATATGGCCATAATTTTTCTGTCTGATTTTTAAAGCATTGGTCCATGTGAATTGTGAGGTGGCAGTCTGCGTAGACATTTATGCCACTGGTTTCTATGTAATTTACAAAGAAAGTACTGAAAAAATCATAGTACAGTATGTTAGCCATATATTTATACTAAGTGTACTGAAACATCTTTTTTGTAGGAAATAGGAGGGAAAGAATGCAAAGCTGTCCTCAGAATTGGATATGGAAGTATCAGTAGGTGAATCTTCAGAACACAGGAATGAAAATTGAAACTTCATGAGGAAATCATAGATAAGATGATACCTCTGGAAAAGGCACTGCCAAGGTTGGTAGACTCAAATTTAATGTTTTGAATGTGTATCCTTTTTAATGACCTCACTACAGTAATGCTTGTGAAATCTCTTTTTAGCTGTTGGTGTAAGATCCTGGTCTGTAAACACTTGCTAGTCTGTAAAATACTGAATGATCATGTTTTACATTAATTTTACAAAATTCACACTGAATGGTGTTTGGTTCACTTCTCTTTTAGATTAATGATAGCTGATCGCCACATCTAAACAAACTGGTTAATCTTACATTGTGGTTTGTTTGAGACAAGCTGGGTCTTTTTTTAATTGTACAGCTTGTTGTAGTCAAGTTTAGTATTAAATGTGAACAGTGTGTCACTCAATTATATTTTATAAAAATAAATAATAAATTATTTTCAATTTTTGCTGATTGTTTTACTGCTTTAAAATGCATCCCTGTTAGAGCTTGACCCTTTTCAGGTTGCCACTTACTTGGAGAGACATTGACACAATATATAAACATACCACACATTGTTTTTATATTTTGTTATGAGAGTTCAGACAGCTTGTTGGAAATGGCACTTTCTAACATTGCTAGATATATAACTCAAGATATATCCCCTTGTTAGGTGAACTTGAGTATATAACTTAAGTTAATGATGTTTAGTTTCTTGGTGATTTGTTGGTGTTAGAACAGGGAATAATCAATGATTAGGAGTAATAATCTCTTGTACAGAGTAGCTGGTATCCCATGGAGCTATGGAAGGACACTAGCATGTTTCTGTGATAAAATTGTTAGAAATAATTTGGTAAAATGAGGTTGGGGCTTTTAGTGCAACACCATTTTTTGCTTCGAAATGCTCAGGACTGTTGGGGTGACAATGGGAAGTAGGTTTTTTAGAAACCTATAAAATTGAATGTCTGAAAAGCTGAACCACCTTTTTGTAATAAATTAATATAATACAAGTGTGGTTTGCATATGATGCATGTTGGAAAAAATCACTTTGGAAAAATCACTTTGATGTTTCTTAATATCTTGTCATCATGTAGAAAAACTCCCCTGTCCAGCCCCAGTAACTGCAGAAATATATTGCAGGGTAGTTAAGTATGAAGCTTTAAAGTCATAGTTCTGCAGTGAAATAACTTGTGCTTTACTGCATAAATCTTCCTATTTGCTAAAAATATGAATATATTCTGTCACATTTTTATCAGAAAAACATAATTTCTTTATACAGTATGATACTTGTACTAGTAAAAGCTCAAAAGTATGAAAGTCATTTCCTTTTTTTGTGTTATACTTGAGATAAAATTATGCAGCCAGCCATGTAAAAGGCATGTGAATTTCAGCACAAAGAATGGTGCATTTTTTCTTTTATAGACTCTTCTGCAGTATTCTTAAACCCTTTAGAAACTATACCACCAAATATCCACTTCAGTACATAGATGGACAACATTACAACATTGTTTCCAGCCATGTGATATCAGCCACAGGAAATTGCAAACCAAATGAAATGTACAGTGATGCCTCGCTTAACGAGTGCACCGTATAGCGATGTTTCCGTATAGCGATCCCTTTTTCGGGATCGCTATACGGAAACATACCCGATCTTCGCAATGGGGAAAACCC